TCCTGGCTTTTCATTTGTCACTATGCCTTTTTCTTTTTTTTAGTGTCCTCTGACAAAGCCTTTGCCTTCTTCCTTGTAGCTGTTGGTTCGGCCATAACGAAAACATACAGACGGCAATCAAACGCGAGTTGAGCACTCACGTCAGAATCTGAGGAAGTTGTGGGTGGTGGGGGAAGTGACGTATGCCGTAAAGCGGTCGAATTTTGTAGTTCTTTTTGTGCTCGGGTTACTACCCGAACCCCGAAGTTACATAGTGCTAGGAAAAGCGATACAGACACCTTCAGGCTACGGCAGACGTGTCATTCAACCTATTGTAAGTCGATGTACCATCTCAATGGGTTTTGGTAATATATTATAAAGGTTGAAAAGTTCCACAGTGTGCCTTTAACAGAACAATATAAACCCAGTTTGGCTTCTACACGGCTAACATTAATTTACTCCTTATGTCCCCTTTCCAGGAGCACTATTAATGTATATGCTGCCAGTAAGCAAAGCTCCAGCTGTTAGTGAGTATAAAGGGGCTGTAAAATGATAACCTTCTGCATTTTAAAAATTAAGTCTAACTTTATGTATAATTATTTTCTTTATAGTAATTGCTTTTCTTTCGGCCCTACTTAACATGGTCAAAGGGGCCTCCAACCAAATTTAGCTTAGGGCCCCCAAAGATCTAGGGCCGGCTCTGGTGCAACAACATACAAAACTTCGCAGTGAGTGAATGAGTGAACATGGTATAAATAGATCGAGACTAACAGGGTAATGAGACACAGGTGAATGCAATCAGTGATGATGAGTCTGGAGTCTGTACAGTGAGTTATGGGAAATGTAGTTTGTGAGGGAGTGATAATAGTCTGGTGTGGAGTGCCCTCTAGTGGCTCTCAAGGGCACTCCAGCTGGAGACCGTTACAGTAACACACAGTTGAAATGTTCAGTTGCTGAAAGAGGAAAAACAACACATTTGTAGGAAAAGAGGCATGTGAGACAAAAGCTGGCATATTTTCCTGTGGGTTTAATAAAACGACTTAAGCGCCATCACACTCTTCCACATACATGGGGATTGAGGGAGAAAAAGTATGCAAATAAATATTCAATCAGGTCACAACTAGAAAGAGGAAAAACTCAAAAGTCGGCAGAGCAGCTTTCTCTTCTTCTGCTCACCTTCTATAGCTCTTACAGACTCAACCTCTATGCACATGTGCAGTTGTCTTTCTACCACAAATGACCAAAAATGCTGTAAGTGACCGTTACAACCTATATTTGTCTGAGAATGCTTCTAAATATGTGTTGCGCGCTTTCATCTCAATAAAATGTGCATACAACAAAAATAAAAGAAATGACAGTCCATGGTGATGGTAGAGCGAGGACTGACCAAGGTGCAGCCAGAGGGACGAGGAAGCCTGGTGGAGCCGGAGGGACGATGGTCCCAGTTGGAGTTACGGGCTTGGAGGTTCTAGGCGGAGCTAAAGGGTCTACACTCCGGGGCGGAGTTGGCGAAGTTGAAGCCCCAGGTCGGATCAAGGATGCTTGGTGCAGACAGATTAGGAGGATCCGAAGGGCTGAAAAGAGCCAGCGAAGGCAGGGCCAAAGAACTGGTTAGCACAGACAGGGGGTTACAAAATGGCCTCTTTGGCCGATTCAGGGCAGGCAGAAAATTCAGAAACGGCCTCCTTGGCCGATGCAGGACAGTCAAATGATTCAAGAACGGCCAACACGGGACAGGCAGATAATTCAGGAACTGCCTCCTTAAGGGACGGGACACGCAGATAATTCAGGAACTGGCTCATTGGCCAACACGGGACAGGCAAATAATTCAGGAACGGCCTCCTTGGCCGACACGGGAGAAACAGAAACTTCAGGAACAGCCTCCTTGGCCGACCAAAAGGCAGATAATTCAGGAACTCCCACAGTGATGGATTCATGCACCTGGTCATACATTTTACTGGGCTCCAGCAAAGTCCTTTTGGGCAAGTCATGCCACTCTGCCGCCATCTTGGCAACGCCTCCGGGCAGCTATTTCCGACTAACAAGACCAGGCTCCTATCTAAATGAATGGGCAGAGAGTCAGAACTGCACTTTCACTGGTCATCGGGACATAAAAACTGCATGTATAGAAACAGCAGTAAAATATGATAAAAATCGCTGAAAAAGTTTGATGACTTTGCCCCAAAAGAAGGTTTAAAACACCTTTTTCCCCACAGGTTATACTTTTACTACGCATGCGTAAGGGTTCACGACACCAACTTCATTTACGTCTCTATCCAGAATGCCGGTGTCGTGCTCTACAGCACATACTTAGAATGTAAGGTAACATATTTGTGGTCGATATAAAATGCTTTAACTACTGTAACAAGGTTCAGATGTTATGGGAAGAAGGAGGCAGGAACCGGCGAACATTCAACCATTTTAATAAATAAACAAATCCAAAAATGGAAGTATGCCAGCAGCCCCGGATGAGCTGCTGGCCACACAAAACAGGAACAAAACACAACATAAAATCAGGCCTGTTCCTCTCTCGATCTCCATGTCGTCGCTCCACCTTTTATGCCTCCGCTCCTCCGTGAGAGATACGAGACCGATGCGTCGCGCAGGTGCCGCTCATCAGTAATCACGCCACCGGCCTCACGCAGCTCTCTCACGTCCCTCGTCCTCGGCCTGCTCGCCACAACTACCTTGGTAGTCCGGTGTTTTCGCGTTGTTATCACCCTCTTCCATGTGGATTCCATCTGATCTTGCACACAACACCATGGCACAAAACAACTCGCTGTCGCCAAATCGTCTCCGCTGTCGCAAACCTCAACTGTGCGCATGCGTCAGTGGAACCAGACGATAGGCTTAAATGTTTCCCGGCTTGACTGTTAAAAGCTGACGATTGGCTTTCCAGCGGGAGGGGCGGGACATATGCATACAACCGCCATCTTTGACGTTACGGGTTTTCCCTATATAGTTGTATTGAGGATTGAGGAAGTGGCATGTCTCTATATAAATAGTCTCTGGCTCCAGTCACAGGTCCATAATCAATCAATGGAAAGCACTCAACCACATGACACTGAACCAAAACACATGCTAAACAAATACAAGAACACTCGTTACACTGTTATTTTATTTTTCATGTCAAAACAGTTTTACTGTGCACAGTCTTTAACAAGCATTACCAAATTTATTGATTGTCACTGGAACTGAATTTGATGCACAAAAACAAAAATGACAGAGAATTAATCTGCATGTAAGATAAAACTCATAGATTGCAGGATTATACTTGGGGAAAAAGTCACAAAATGAAAAGACAGCGTCTCTTCTGTCTCACTACAGCGCCATCTTCTGGCAAAACTGCTTTCTGTACAATTTCAGTCATATGGTAGATGTGAACCTTTCACTATATGAATATATATGTTATGACTTGTTTCAGCAAAAGGAGAGATTAATGTGGCAATGATGCATTGGCATTTAAGACCAGATGAAGCAAGTGTTTAGAGCTTCATCTTGAATGATGGCATGGGAGGTTTTTGTATGACGCTGTTAGGTTTCCTGTCACTGTGGGCCTCAGGGCACAGTAATACATGGCAGAATCTGCCTGTACAGCAGAGGAGATCTTCAGATCCACTTGTTTAATATCTTGCTGAACTTCAGCAGAAAATCTGTCTGGTCTATCTTTACTCATATCTCCATGTGGGAAAATGGAAAGGAGGAACTCCGGTTTGGATCTGGGATATTGTCTGTACCATTGTAAACTCTGTACAGTACCCGTATCTTTGTAACTGCAGGACAGAGTAACAGCGTCACCAACAAGTCTATTTTCATCCCCTGACAAGGGTTTTATTGCATCTGCCTCTGTGTGGCCTATAAATGAAGAATAAACGCCTGGTTAGATAAATCAAACAGTAACTAAACCGTAGAAAGTGGTAGTAAATACGTAATATTTATCTTACCAATAAATGTCCAAAACAAACTGAGGAGAGTGAAAATAATCATGATAGCAGAAATCTGAAGAAGAATCGGAAAGACTTGAGTATCATTCAGACTGGATGCCTTTGAGTTCTGACAACCTCCTTCAGATGAAAATGCTTTTACATCATAAAATTAAGCTCCGCCTTCTGGCAATATGATTTACTTCTGTAATGGAGTCTTTATGCTTAAACCAGTTCATGTTCAAAGTCTCTGGCAGTGTGTATTAAAGAAAAGGCCAAAGACTGTAATACTTTCAGCTTCAACTTCAGCTGGAAACATTAAACGTTGGAAACATTTCTCTCTCAAATATGTTTTTAAAAGCTACTTAAATGTCCTAATTGAACAAAGACCTACTCCTGGCTTAATCGAAGTGGTCGTCATATCTTTTTTTCACCATTTTAAATGAACATTTTGAACAAATATTCCTTGTAGCTCCACAATAAATTTGAGGTATTAAAAAAACAGCATACATAATAAAAATAAAAATGAATAAGGATTCGACCGTGTTGTTAAAATACTTTTCGATGGAGTTTGGCATGTCACACCACAAGAGAAAAATGCCACAGGAGCCCACAAGACATTTATTCATATAGATTAATCAAAACATTGTTTTTGTGTTTCTGTGTTGCAGGCTTTTCTGTCACTGTGAGCTCCAGATCACAGTAATACACAGCAGAATCAGATACAGCAGCAGAAGAGATCTCCAGATACACACATTTGTTTTTATGGAGACTGATGAGGTGCTGGCACTAACTTTGGTGTATTTATCAGTCAGTACAAGAAACTCTAACCATGATCCAGTCTTCTGTTGATTCCAGTGGAGACGGTAAGCTGATTCATCGAATGTACAGGACAGAGTTTCATTACTGCCTTCTTTTGAAGACACAGATGCTATAGGACTCTCATTAGCTTCAGCTGCAAAGAAGAAAACAATCCAGTGTTATCAGAATCATAAAGCTTTACATTTATATAGTAAGATAAAATGAATATAAAGTGTCAAAGATCTATGGCTTATAACTCAATACACATGTTAAAACAGAGCAGATGAGGATCATTGTTGTATGTAGTTTGAATTTAATGATAAATCAGTAAGTGTATCAAGCCTCTTCTGAACTCTTCTTGTATACCACATTAAGCTTGTGTGTGTGTTCTTTATGGAAATATGTATTATGTTCTTGTGGAATTATTAATAGATCCTTGTGTTACTGATAGCGGATTCAGTCACAGACACGACACACAGAATACATGTGCTTGTTAAGCATCAATGAAAAGGCTAATATGCAGGAAGATTATGTACTGAGGAAAAGGGTTTCCTGTCACTGTGGGCTGCAGGGCACAATAATACTGTGCAGAGTCTGTTACTTTAGCAGGGCTGATTTCCAGTTCCATGAGCTTTCTCTGTTTGTCAACTTTAGCAGAAAACCAGTGGGCTGATGGATCTGCTTTAACTGGATCTCCAGATTCAGTGATGGAGAGAAGGAGTTCTGGTTTGGATCTCTGATACTGACGATACCACAGTAGATTGTAAACAGCACCACTGTAGTTACAGGAGAGAGTAACACTGTTTCCATCTTGAGCTGCTTTTTCAGGACCATGAGATGTTATTAGATCACCAAGAGAGTCTCCTGAAGAAGAAAAAAACATACTAAATTCACTATTGTGTTTGGATAAATGTAATATTAACATTTTTAAATAAAAAGATATGGTGATAAATGAAATAAATGGATCTTACCTGCTAGTACTGAAAATATTACAAGTGCACAGAGAAGCATGATGGAATGAAATGACAAACTCAGATGTGCCTTTTCTTCACTCACTGTGATTTAAGTCTGGAGCTCCACCCTGTGGCAGGATTTGATCTTCTGTGATGAGTCTTGAGCTCTTTGTGTACATGAGGACTACAGAAATGAAAAGAACACCCTCTTCTGGATAAAAACAAACATTCATGAATCATAGAGGACTTGCTCATCTGTATTTTTACACTCTAAAAAGACTACTGTAACGATAAAGGTTCTTACATGCATCCATCTTAAAGCTGTTCTCAAGATTTATAGATTTTTAGATGTTAGATATAGGAATAATTTTATAAAATAAAATTGTAAAAACATTAATTTTAAGTTATTGAAGCTTTCTTTTAAAAAGATTAAAACTAAAATGTTCTTTTCATATTCTTGACACAAAGATTATTTTTAAGAACTGTTCACAGAAAGGTTCTTTGAAAAACTCAAAAATGTTTATTTTATGGCATTGCTGAAAAAAGAAGAAAAATAAATTTAAAATGTTGTAGAAGAGATTAAAAAGGAAGCGAGACAAAAATAAATGGTCAACCAAATTTAAATGGAGTTTACAGCACAGAATATTTTAACCTAAAATCGTGCCCACAAACTTATATAATTTTACCATGTAAGAGCACTAATGTGATCATATTTATGTTAAAATATCTTTGTTAAAATGTTTTTACATTATTTATAGAGCTATTTTTAAATAATTTCTTATTTACGAAAGGCTCAATCTGCAAACACACATGAGGCTATGACAAAAGACAGATATTATGTTCTTTCTCCTTCTAGAGTTTTTTGTACAGTGATGATGTTGAAGGAGCACAAATTCAGGTCTGGATCCAGGATACTGTCGATACCCATGCAGACTGTCTGCACTGCCATTATATTTACATGAGAGAGTGACCGGCTTCCCCTCAGTTACATGGGTGAACGTGATTTCACCAAGTACCACATGTTCCTGGATCAACATCTTTGTTGATCCTGGATCAATTTTCCAATCAACCAATCAGATTTGAGGGTACAAGTTTACAGTTTATGTCAAGTTTAGGCTTAGAACCAGGGTAAAATGTTATTCACCTATCATTACCCTCTGATTTTAGGGAAAAGTTATGGGGGTTAGGTTTAGGGGTAGGGATTGGGGAAGCACTACATTTTGGGACAGGAATGTTGATCCAGGATCGAATTTGTACGAGTGAGGTTTTACGAATTCATACAAATCAGTCACACTTTGTACGAATTTGTACGAATTGGTCGTGAGATAGCGTGCATAGCTCCCTCTTGTGGTTCTTTACTAACTTGTACAAAAGGCTCAGAACAAAGTCAAACCGAATGTGATCTAGATTCATTCCTCAAGCTTTACTGTAGATCTATAAATCAGGTATTCATTTTATGGCCCTGTACAGTCGCCAGCTCGCCACAGCTTAGACACAAAAAAGCAAATTAAATTGTATTTAAAACAGCAACTAGGTTTGGAGAACATCCTAAGATTGCAGTGTGTACGAATTGTGTTAAAGTGTAAATTGCAGGTTAAATTTTTCACAAAGATAATGCAATGTGCTTACTAAACATACAGATAAGAACCGCCCACAATTGTTTTTTATGTGTTTTTTTATACCAAAATGCTGCATATAATATGAAAAGTTGGTACGTTTTACAGTGGTTTATTTAAAAAAAAAAAAAAAAAAACTCACATATACACACAGTTTAAAACCAATTTAGTTAATTTAGTCTATTGTATGTCTGCTCATGCAGGTCATAGTTTTAATGCAGGTTCAAAGAAAATGAAGATGGTTTTTAGCATGACCACTAAAATGTATAGGGATGAGCGCATGAAATGCACTTTGCACAGCACAAAAAAAAATCTTAAATATATATATATATAATTTATACAGTGTTCATATTGTCATGGGACAGAATTCAACAGCATGTGGATTTGCACTTTGTCATATAATTGAGCACTTCCTCTGTTTTTGTATGAGTGTTGAGAGTGTTTGAGTCACAGTGGGCCTCAGAGCACAGTAATACACAGCAGAGTCAGACACACACACATCCTGGATTGTCAGATCAACAGATTCTGATGACACTTTAGAGTGAAATCTCTCCTGAAACTGAGGGTCAGTATCTTCTGCTCCATATTTGTTTCTCCTCAGGATGTATTTAGGAAGGTCATTTGCTCTCTGGATGTACCAGAAAAGATCTGGTTGCGATGAAGCTGTTTTATATTTGCATTGTATTTTTACTGATCTTCCTTCAAATTCGGCGAGGTGCTTGTCTGGCTGATAAACACTCTCTTCTCCACGACACTCTGTAAAGAAATTTTAAAATGTACTCATAAACTGTAAAAATTGTAACCTGTAATAAGGTATAAAACTGTATGAAGTAATTAGGAAAACCCCCACTTACCATGATAAACCGATGCAAAAATGAACAACTTTAACAATCTAAGATTTATCATTTTTTTTATGTGGTGACTGAAATAGGAGAAAAAGATGAATCATTCAACCAGTTGTGTCAGCAAGAACAATGATGGTGTATAGCAGGGAGGGGAGATTAAACATAAAAAAGAAAAGAAATTCAAATAGACTTTAAGTGTCTACACTGCCCTCTTCAGGATATTATTTAAAAAAAGATTTTATCTGAGCCAGTTTTTCATTCATTATTCATGTATGACAGAGCATGATATTTAACATTTTGTTCCCCGTGTCAACATTGAAGTTATTGATAATCTACACTTCAGACATGTGCTGCACAAAGTGGCAGGAATATGTTTAAAGCATCCTTTACCATAGTGTGTATTAGGATTAACAACATACAGTATACCCTTATTAATGTAACATACTGTACACCCTTAATCTTTAGGGAAATAAAGAGAATAGAAAAGTTAGATTACACTTTTTTGTGAAATTGTAAAGCCATGTGTAAGATGTATCTAAGAAGTCCCTTTAAAGGTACAATATGTAAGAATTTTGTATCAAAATATCCAAAAACCACTTGCACATGCAGTGTTATATTTCTTTCAATTGTGTACTTCCATTATCCTAAATGTTTCCAAGAATTTGTAAATTCAGAGAAATTCACAATTTTATAAAGTGCCCGTCCCTGTTCACTTGTCGCCTGTCAATGACGTAATATCCGCGTTATCCCTGGTTTTCGTAACCATGGCGACAGATGTGGACTGCGTAGTGCATAACTTCTAGCTGCACGCTCACACTGTTGTTGTTTCGTTCAAACATTACGGACCATGGCAAGCAGACTTTGGGGCAAAAGGGGAACTAAAACGAGGATCAATATCAGCGTGGCGTTTTCCAGAAGCCGAGAGCTCCACGTCCGCGACTAACTGAGACTTGACAGAGCTTCACGAGTCACGACTTGACAGAGACGCCACTCTTGCAAGTACTATATTAGACAGGTGAGCAAATGTATACGTAAAACTAATCAATGTTATTTAGTTCAACATGATGAAATGTTAGAATATGATCAGTATGTTATTCAATGTTGATAGCTTACTTTAAGTCTCATATAGCAAACAAACTAACACAGAATAACATTATAACTTTCAACACACTCAAATGCTGTTTAGTACGATAGTGTAACTTTAGACCAAATGAAACAGCGCTGCGTTACCTCACAAGTTTAATTCGTCAAATAAACTGACCTGTGTAATTCAGCACATTAAGGTCGATTACAATTAATTATAGGCATATAATTGCAATTATTAACAGTCTATAATATGCACTGCAATAATTAGTCGTCAATTAAAATTAATTTTAATAACTTTATTTCAAAAACATAGTTTAACAAATGAATTAAGAGGCACGGTGTGGATAGGCCTACATTGCATGTGGCTTGGGAGACGTGGGTAATTTATGGTTAGTCTATTTTGCAACACGAACTGGAGGTAAGTAACAGTAACTTGTAGCTAGTTTGAGCTAGCTAACATGTTCCCGTTGCGGGAATATGACTATGGCAGCGTTAAGATCAAGACTCGCTTTCCTCAAGGGAGGTGCAGTCCCCTCACCTATGCCCCGATCTAGTGCCTATTCTTGACCTCAGAATAGACCTACTTCGGCTCTTAGCCAGAGTGATCTGAGGATTACCGTGAGGGCTTCCCCGCCGAGGCAATCTCCATGGGCCCCTCACGCCTCACTTACGCTGCCGCCGACGGAGCTTCCAAAAGAACGTGCTGGTATTTCACATGGACGACCAGTCGTGTCTTTTGGAGCTCCTCCTGACGACCAGATGTCGGTTGTATCATCGGAGGGGGAGCTTCAGTCCTCTGGAGATGAGAATTCAGCTGCGTTGCCCCCTTCGGGGAGTGTAGCGTTGCCTGAGTCCGATCCAGAATGGGTGGCTATGCGACCGAAAAGGTCAGGCTTGCGTATAGGACCCTCCACCATGTCCCGAACCTTCCAGGTTGGAGGATTGGTTCCTCAGGGCTGGGCCGTTCTGGTTCTCACCGCGCTGCTCCGGAATCATTCTTTCCGGAAGTGCATGAGGAGCTCACTATGACGTGGACGGCGCCGTATAGTGGCAGAACCCTTCCTCTAAAGTTTTTGTCAGTTATTTTTTTCTTACTACAGCAAAAATTGATCTGATCAATATTTGATTATTTGAGAATAGAATATAGTACAGCACAAATTATTTCTATCGATTTTAAACATCTAATTATCCAATGTCAGTCACTTCAATTTATTCCTTTTAATTTTCAATTTAATATATATTCATATTTTGTAATATTGTTTATTTTAATCATAAAGATATATTCATAAAAGACATGTTATATTGTATTGCAAACTTAATAAATAAATAAATAAATAAATACAAATTTCTGATTTCTCAAACTGGCAGCAAATGAAGTTTATAATGTATTCTGGCAAATAAACGCAATAACTCATCTTTATAGATTTTATATTCTCCTATAACTAGTTTTGCCTTCTCACATGTGTCAGGTTTTTGTACAGAGCAGGTGTGTTTCCTGTGACTGTGGGCCTCAGAGCACAGTAATACACAGCAGAGTCTGATACTTCAGCAGAGGAGATCTCCAGATCCACATGATTTTGCTTTTCTTTGTTGTGTTTTGCAGTGAATCTGGGATTTACATCAGACTTCGTATCTTCTTTTGTTCCATATACGATGACTACAAGTAATTCAGGAGCTGATCGTGGGTATTGACGGTACCAGAATAAAGTCAGTGCAGAAGAACAACTGCAGGATAATGTAACACTTAAACCCTCAACAGCAAACTCTTCAGCTTTGGTTGGTCTAATTTAATTTCCATACGTGGCACCTGCAGAAGTAAATCAGTTTAAAAAGTTAAAAAGTGAATCAAGTGGGATCAGCGATTTTTCAGTTATATGAATACCACCCTGAGTTCCTCATATGGTTGTTTAGAATATGAAAATGAAATACTTACATGCAAAGATAAAGAGTGGAATAATAGATAGGAGCACCATTGTCTGTGTTCACACTGTAACAGACTCTGAAGGGGTTTCACAAGATCACAGGTGTCAGTGCTTAGAGACACACCTCTACCAGTAGAAATATAACTCAGACTTTGAATGTTGTGAAAGGGAAAATAATTTTGAATGTAATAAGGATGTTTGTTTTTACTAAAAAAGAAAAGAAATTTTTTATATTTTAAGAAAATATTTCTTTACATAAAATGGCCATGACCACATTTATTAGGGACTCATTTCCATTCTGAGTACAGTAGCCATACAGCAAAGTCAGACACATGAAGGTTTTATAATGTAAGGTTCACTCAAATGTGGTGTGTAACCAGACCTCTCCATCTTAACAGCCTCTAATGGAAAAGTATGAGCACCATGCTCTTATCTGCCTAAGACAGACATAACACGTACTGGGATAAACATAACTAAAGCTAAAATAATTATATGAACTCATCACTCTTGTGAGCATTGGCATAAAACCTGAAATTTAGGTGTATCTGGTAACTGAAAATAGCAGCATCTGTGTTATTTTTTACTATGTTGGGATTGGGAAAGATCTAAAAAATAAATGGTAGAAAGATATGCTGAAATTATTTGCTGTTAGCATGTATCTTTTATTGTTATAGTGTTATAATTATATTATATTATATTAATATAGTGTTCTAAATAATGTAAACATTAATTAATCAGTACTTAATTTGTTTCTCATCAGTTAGTGCAGGACTGATTTCAAGAATCATAAGACACATGATTTATTGTTGAGGATGTTATTGTAGTGTTCTAGTGTTTCCTGTCACTGTGGGCGTCAGTGCGCAGTAATACAGCGCAGAGTCTGACACTTCAGCATCAAAGATCTCCAGGCTCACAAGATTTTTGTCCACTTTTGGTAAAATGCGAGGAGGAAGAGGGTCACTTGTGGCTCCTTGTGGGTAAATCCAAGCCAGGAACTCTGGTTTGGATCTGGAATATTGGCGATACCAGTGCAAATTAGTTATGGTTCCTTCATATTTACAGGAGAGAATGGCTTTTTGTCCCACAGATGCAAGTGTCCTGTTTGTCTGTGGTGTTATTGACTGTGCCATTGTGTCACCTGCAAACCGTAAAATATAAAATATTTCATCAAACTGAATTTGTACCATTAATGTTATAGCATTAAACAAAAGTATATCTAAAAAGATGTGCATTGTTTGAACAAATGTCCAAAAATCATGAGTAAACTTCACTTACTTTTTATCAACAATACCAGAAGAAGAGTGCAAAGAATCATCATGTTTGCTCTGTGAGAAGTTTAATGAGCACTTTGCTTTTACTCAAACCCACACGAGCTCCTCCTACATTGTAACACAGAATGAACTGCCTCTGTGTGATCAATATTTGGTATGAAACAAATCTAGAAATCTGAGACGATGTTCGGCTGGATTGCCCTCGAGTGCCACGAGAGGGCGCTCCACCTCTGCACTGCCTTCCCTTGGACTGTTCACGCACACACCCTGGACTGATTACTCACACACCTGTTTCCACTGATCACTCTCACACCTGCATCTAGTTCCACATGCAGCTCCCCACACATTTATACCTCACTGTCACTATCACTCTTTGCGTAGTATTGTATGACTGTATGTCACTGTGGTCTATTCATAGTCTTAATTCCTAGTCTGCTTTAGAGCATTTCCATGCCTGATATCCTGCCTGTGTTTCCCGACCTTCTGCCTGTGTTCCTGGATTTCGTATCGTCTGCTGCCTGCCTGTGATCTCTTGCCCGGTATTTGGACCACGATTTAGCCTTGTCTCCTATGCTGTGTCTGCTGTCTGTGACCCTTGCCTGTCTGACTACCCTGTAAATAAACCTACGCTGCACTTGGATCTATCTGTGTCCGGTTGTTTCATGACAGAATACTACGCCATAACCAGATCCAGCAGCATGTCAGCCTTGTATGCCTCCCAGTCAGCCAGTGCGGTTCTGAGCGCCGTACACCAAGATCAACTGGACGAACTCACCTCGTCGCTGGAGAGGTTGGTCAAGATGGTTTGCGGTCTTCATGTTCCTCCACCGGGACCATCCCAGTTTCAACCCGTCTCCACTGTTGTCAGCCCTGAACTGATCCCATCTCCACGTCAAGCTCGCCCAGTGAAGTACGACACGGATGCGGGAGCTGATATCATGCGACTCCAGCAGGGAGATCAATCGATTGAGTGGTATGTCGAAGAGTTTGTTGAACTGGCACGTCTCACACTTATGAGCACCGAATGTCTAATGATCTTTTTCCGCGGAGGGTTATCTGAACCGCTCCGGTCACTGATGCCCATCCATGATCCTCACGGTACTTTAATGCAGTATATGGACATGGCCCTTCTTCTGAGTGGTTCAGCTCTCACTGTGGGTAAGATGGGGAATCTTCAGGTCCTGCCAGATTTTCACGACATGCCAGAGCTTCTTCCCGCCGAGACCGTCAGGCCTGGGTTTCGTCCCGCCGAGTCAAGTCCCGCCGAGTCAAGTCCCGAGTCAAGTCCCAAGTCAAGTGAATCTAGCCCCGAGTCAAGTGCCAAGCCGAATTAATCAAGTGAGTCAAGTGAATCTAGTGCTGTGTCAAGTGAATCGAGTGAGTAAAGAGCCGAGTCAAGTGAGTCTAGTGCCGAGACAAGTGAATCGAGTGCCGAATCTAACCAAGTGAGTGAATCCAGCCAAGTGAAAGATTCAAGCCCAGTGAAGCGCCATCGCAGAAGGAAGAGGAGGACTCGTTTGGCTCACCAGGCTCCGGAGGGCGTTCCCAGATGCCTCGCCCTGCCGGCCCCGCCTCTGCGCCTCGCCCTGCCGGCTGCGCCTCGCCCTGCCTGCGCCCTTCAAGCTTCAGGAGGGCTTTCCTGAACCCGTGGATTTCCCCAAGTATTTTTTGGGGGGGGGGGGCCAAGGGTCCGGTGAGGAGACCATGAGGGCTGCGCCGCCATGGTCGTCTGCAGGGGCTTCACCTCCATGGCCGCCATCTCATCCTGCTCCGCCCTGGCCTTCGCCTCATCCTGCTCCGCCCTGGTCACCGGTCCAGTCTGGTCCGCCCAAGCTCTGCGGCCCAGGCCCGCCTGGGCTACTTCCTGGTCCCGTTCCCCTGCATGGGCCTGGCCCTCCGTCCCTCCCCCAGGATCGTCTTCGCTCTGCCCCCCGCCTGGATCTTCTTTGGAGCGTCTGGAAGCCGCTCGTTAAAGGGGGGGTTATGTGACGATGTTCGGCTGGATTGCCCTCGAGTGCCACGAGAGGGCGCTCCACCTCTGCACTGCCTTCCCTTGGACTGTTCACGCACACACCCTGGACTGATTACTCACACACCTGTTTCCACTGATCACTCTCACACCTGCATCTAGTTCCACACGCAGCTCCACACACATTTATACCTCACTGTCACTATCACTCTTTGTGTAGTATTGTATGACTGTATGTCACTGTGGTCTATTCCTAGTCTGCTTTAGAGCATTTCCATGCCTGATATCCTGCCTGTAGTGATGGCAAGATGAGGCTTCCTGAACCACTGAGACCTCGCAGTCCATTGCTTCACCCAAAGGTTCATTACTCGAAGCTTCATTCAGCATTGCTCACTAGTGACACCTAGCTACTGTGCAAAGAAATTGCAGGCAAATTAATTCATTCTGAACCAATGACCCGCCCCCCCTCCCGCAATGTTTTATTTATTTATCTTCTTCTAAAAATGAGTTAATGTCTCTGTAACCTTTCATTTGCAATAATAAAGAGATCTGTGCAGACATTTGTCCATTGCCTGGGTATGAAATAAAACGTGTATATTTCTCTGTCTGCATTTACTTGTACAGAGACAACTGTCACACACAATTAATTAATTATTCCAAAAAATATTGAATAGGGACAGTATGAACAACAAAAGTGACTGTGTTGAGTGCAGTGCTTATGGTGGAGGGACTCGAGGAAGTGTAATAAAGTAAACTGCAGTAAACACCACAGTTTGGGGTGGATGATGGAAGGATTGCAATAGATTTTTATTGAGAAAATGAATTTTTTGAAGTGTTGGGGTCTAGACAATTCCTCTTCTTGGACAAAACCTCACCAGCCTTGGAAAAATATCCTTTCACAAGGAACAGAGGATGCAGGGGAACATAAAATGTCAGTGCCAGCGGGTATAAATGAAGATACTGATGCTTCTGTTGAGCCCAGACAGGGGAGGATCTCCTCTTTCTTGCTGGCTCCATTACCATGAAAAAGGAAGATGTCATAAAAAGCAAACAAATCCAAAAGGGCAATCCAAATTAAAAAGCAGTCCAGTCCAGATCCAAAAATCTAAGCTACCAAAAATCCAAAGCAATCCAAATAATCTTATCTAATTAATATAACAAGACTATAATATAGCTACTATAATTAATAATAACAATTATTCATTATTATTAATAACTATTCTAACCTGATATAATGTAATAATATACAGCCCTAACACATATATGACACAATAACGACAATGAGATTTCTCTAACTCTGACTCTACTACATATGCTTCTACTACTCCTGCAACACCCAGAAGGTGGCGCGAGTTTCGAACCCCCTTTATCCGGAAGCGACACTCAGACCGAACCGATGACGTATCCACACAAACCGAGGCCTCGTTTGTCATTAGTCACGTGATTTTCACGTTAACAACACAGGCCTCGAATCGCGGCTTCATCTGGCACGCCCATTTTTTCTCGACACAAGCTCCGACGCCTCGGTTCAACTGTCACATCACTACCTGCCTGTGTTTCCCGACCTTCTGCCTGTGTTCCTGGATTTCGTATCGTCTGCTGCCTGCCTGTGATCTCTTGCCCGGTATTTGGACCACGATTTAGCCTTGTCTCCTATGCTGTGTCTGCTGTCTGTGACCCTTGCCTGTCTGACTACCCTGTAAATAAACCTACGCTGCACTTGGATCTATCTGTGTCCGGTTGTTTCATGACAATCTCATTTAGTTTCAACATGTAGTGTTTTGGTCACAATCTATTCTTCTGTTTATTGTAGGGATATTTAAATAATAATAATAATAACCTAATGCTCATAGGGAATGCCAAATGTAGCTGATTTTTTTTTTTCAGTAGACGTTTATTTTGTTTCAAGTAACAAATGTGTTTTTATGATTTTAGTTTAAGATATAATAATAACCCTGCTTTGAAGCGCTGAATGATGAGTGTATATCGCCCTCTTCTGGTTCTCAATAGGTTTATATATTATAGCAAGTGCATTTGACAGAAATGTGCACTGAGTTTTATTTCTGCTCATATCATAATAAATTTATAGTTATAAGCAAATACATTCAATGCATGTGTTTTAACAGCATATTGATCACTCTGGATTGTTTTGACATTAAATGCCTGCCTAAATATAATTTATTATATAAAGTTAATGTCAAATTTAAAAATTGGGTAAATCAATATATGATATATAGTGGAAAAGTTGAAAAAATGTTAGACGTAATCCAAAGACAAATCAGGGTTATTTAATTTAGGACTGTATTTACAAGTTTTTTGAGTGTGTTTGAGTCACAGTGGGCTCCAGAGCACAGTAAACACAGCAGAGACACACACACACACACACACACACACATCATCATCATCATCCTGGATTGTCAGTCGAAAGGAAGTTGTGCTGAGATTCGCTTGAAATCGCTCACTGAACTCTTATTCGTTGTCTTCGATTTTAGAGAATTTACTTGGAAAGTCCATTCAGCAGCAGTCTGATATTTGCCAATATTTGCCATCATCCATAGCAGTGTTGTATATCAGTCTGCTAATCTGAGTAACAACTGCCACTACTTTCATGCCACTTGTATCACAATGCGAACTCTCACTCTCTTGTTGCAAACAGATGAAACTGGGACCGTCTTGCATCTCAGTTATTGTTACATTCTGTTTGTGTTTAGTTTCATTTTAATGGACTGTTAGTTTGTTTCTCTTCAGTTACCGGCTCCCTTTGTTCTGATTTCCGGCCACTCATTAGTTACCATGGACACTGACTCATGCCATCAACAAACCTGTTCGTCAATTAGCGCGTTTCAAGCGCGTTTCAAATCAGTGCTTCTCCCGGGAGACTAGCGCTAAATTAATCCCCTATTTTAGCGCCATCTACTGTTTTAGAAGAGGAAGTTACTCATCTGCATGTGTGAGAAAATCTGCCTGGACGCATTTGTGAGAAAATCGAGCCGAGAGATCTCACAATCATAACAGACAGATATGCATTTGAATGCACTAGATTTGGTATTTGTTCAAAGGTTACATGCAATTTGTAGGATGGTTTGTATTTATTTGTGAAATATTATCAAGGATCATTTATTTATATTTGTAAAACACAATATTGGTTACTCCACTGCATTTTCGCTCAAATTGACCTTTGTATTTGCAAATTGCTTTCTGTTTGTTTGGGAGTCGAGTTTTCCTTTACAAAGCAGATCGAGTTTGTTTGCGAGTTGAGTTTTCCTTTGCAAAGCAGGGGTGCGTTTCCCGAAAGCATCGTTAGCCAACTATGGTCGCAAGTTCCGTCGTTACCAATAGAGTTCAATGGGATTTGCGACCAACTTGCGACCATAGTTGGCTAACGATGCTTTCGGGAAACGCACCCCAGATCGAGTTTGTTTGCGAGTCGATTTTTCCTTTACAAAGCAGATCGAGTTTGTTTGCAAAATGCTGGATTTGTTTGTTTAATTTTGGCACATAATTCACTCCATACCATTTACTCTGTGGGTTTACTTGAAGAAGCTCGTTTTTTTAGGACTTTTTTAGGTCTTTTACACATCTGTTCAACACCTAGCCTATTTTAACACACTAAGCTAAAGCTTTTGAAAAGCTTTGTTTGCTCTTTTATTCCTTTTATATAAAAAAAATCATCAACCTCAACCTCACACAGGTGTTTGCAGTTATTATCTCACACTGAGGTTTTGATTTGGTTTTCACAATTCCTTTTGGTTTTTGTACGACATGTTTCATGTTTTGCATCACTGGGCCTCAACTCTTAGAGCACAGTAATAAAGAGCTGAATCTGACACAGCACACTACTAATAATGAGTTCAGTGAATATGCGAGAAGTACTCGACAGAAATCGAGAATCAGAGCTGTGCTTAGCATTGTATGATCGAGCTCCTTCACGTAATAAATATTGAGGCTGTCCTTTGGGATATTGTCTGTACCAGTACAGACGTACATATTCACTGTCTGAATCATATGAGCAGCTCAGCGTTACAGACTCTCCTTCTGTTTCAATGATATCGGTCCCTCGGTTTGGCTCAATTTGATCCACAGCCGTCACATCTGCAAACATTAAGCTCAACATTAACTCATTTTGTCTAAAGTTAAACATTGTGTATCAGAACTAGTGTATGTTGTTTTGAAGGAAAAATGATAAATGATCTGAAGTAAACATAAGACACACCTGACACCATAATGAAAACCAGCAGCATGTATTTGTTCATGGTGAATATGATCAGATCAGTTGTGTGTTAAAGCTCTCAGTGCTCTGTGCTCTTACTGTGTGTTACTGATGCTCTTACTGTGTGTTACTGATGCTTTCTGCTGTTCACTTATCAAGACATTCAGGAACTTCTGATCTCTGAGTGTAACACCAAAGCTTTTAACCTTCTTCATTTATATTATGCTTAATAGTATTGTTTATGGAAAACAATTGTCTGTGCTTTTCGGGCTCTTTTCTTGCAATATTAATGATTATGAATTATGTTCTTTATGCTGCAGTTCCTGAGGATCGGAGAACACTGACATCTTGTGGCACATTGTACCTACACAATCTGTTTCATTTGATAATGGATTGAAATAATATAGGCTACTTTTGTATAGATTTAATGTAATTAACAATGTTAAGATGCTTCATTCACTTTTGAATGTCATCAATTTAAATATTTTATCTTTCTATCTACAATTTTACATCTGTATTCATAAGCTTTTTATCAGTTTATTTATTTTCGTTATTGCTCTACTTATTAGCATGTGCAGTTTACAGATTCTCTTTTAGTCTTTGTCTCTGTGTCTATTGCTTGTTCTCACTGGATTGAATAAGGAAAGGTTTTTGTACTGTGTTTCTGTGTTTCCTGTGACTGTGGGCTGCAGAGCACAGTAATACACAGCAGAGTCTGACACTTCAGCAGAGGAGATCTCCAGATACACATGGATTTGTTCCTTTTTTGTTACTTCAACAGAGAGTCTTGAATCTACACCAGACACCTGAGCTTCTTTTGCAGCACTGTGGGTTGATACAAGAAATTCAGGATTTGACGATCTTCCATTCTGACGGTACCAGAAGAGATACTCTGTAACCCCAGTGGAGGAATAACTACAGGACAACTTTACATTTTGTCCCTCATCAGCACCAACATCTGTTTTGTCTGATTTGATGGTATTTCCAAAGACAGCAGCTGAAACAGAAGAGGAATGGGTTGCTTTATAGAAAGATTTCTTTGTAAACAGTCAATCAATCAATTAAAGAAACACATACCAGCTGAAGCACAGAACAGAATAACTGAATGAAGATCCATTGTTCACGTGTTCACTGTGAGAAGAGTCAGACTGAATCGTTTCATCCACAGTCTCTTTCAGACACGATGAGATCATGGCAGATCTGTGAACTCTGAGTCCCTCCTCTCTGAGCAACATCATGTCTATAGGAACAGAAGATCACTCTCATCAGTGTTTTCTCTTGTTTTCTCTGTGTTATTAATGTGTTTATGTGTGATTTTGGAATATGTTCGTGATGAGGTTGTTTGTAAGGAAGAAGAAGACAGGCTCGGCTGTGGCGAACTCGTAAATTCTATTATTGAACACTCTTTAATAAATCAACAAAAACAACACTGCGCTTCACTCAAACAAGTTCTCTGTTTTTTTCCTCCAGCAATACAGACTGCCAATTACTGCAATGAGAAACAGGAGTTAGTCATTCTGCACTTGCCCTATCACCGCTCGTCTCCTGACTCCCTCTCTCTGTTCAAATTTACACTATTTATTATAGAATTTTGTGTATAAATTGATTCTTCAAAACACTATTTCATAATCTGAAGAGGATGTTAAACTATCTTGGCTGAGTTTTTGTATGAGCATGGTTTGACTTCAGTTTTGTCACAGTGGGCTTCAGAGCACAGTAATACACAGCAGAGTCAGACACACACACATCCTTGATCATCAGAATGACAGAGTCTGCATGTAAGATAAAACTCATAGATTGCAGGATTATACTTTTGGAAAAACTCACAAAATGAAAAGACGTCGAAGTGTCTCTTCTGTTTTACTTTTAAGTCATACAGCGCCACCTCTTGGCAAAACTGGTTTCTGTACAAATTCTGTCATAAGGGGGATGTGAACCTTTGACTATATGAAATGTATGTGTTTATTGTTTCAGCAAAAGGAGAGACTGTGATGATGCACTGGCATTTAAGACCAGATGAAGCAAGTGTTTAGAGCTTCCTCTTGAATGATGGCATGGGAGGTTTTTGTATGACGCTGTTAGGTTTCCTGTCACTGTGGGCACCAGGGCACAGTAATACATGGCAGAATCTGCCTGTACAGCAGAGGAGATCTTCAGATCCACTTGTTTAATATCTTGCTGAACTTCAGCAGAAAATCGGTCTGGTCTGTCTTCACTCATATCTCCATGTGGGAAGATGTAAAATAGGAACTCCGGTTTGGATCTGGGATATTGTCTGTACCATTGTAAATTCTGTACAGTAGATGTATAGTCTTTGTAACTGCAGGACAGAGTAACAGCGTCACCAACAAGTCTATTTTCATCCCCTGACAAGGGTTTTATTGCATCTGCCTCTGTGTGGCCTATAAATGAAGAATAAACGCCTAGATCAATCAAACAGTTACTAAACCGTAGAAAGTGGTAGTAAATACGTAATATTTATCTTACCAATAGATGTCCACAAAAAACTGAGGAGAGTGAAAATAATCATGATAGCAGAAATCTGAAGAAGAATCGGAAAGACTTGAGTATCATTCAGACTGGATGCCTTTGAGTTCTGACAACCTCCTTCAGATGAAAATGCTTTTACATCATAAAATTAAGCTCCGCCTTCTGGCAATATGATTTACTTCTGTAATGGAGTCTTTATGCTTAAACCAGTTCATGTTCAAAGTCTCTGGCAGTGTGTATTAAAGAAAAGGCCAAAGACTGTAATACTTTCTTAAACTTCAGCTGAAAACATTTAACGGTGGAAACATTTCTCTCTCAAATATGTTTTTGATTCGCACACGCAAAAGAATGATAACTACTCCCGGTCTCACAGACAAGACTTAAGCTATAGTCCCAGACTAAAATGCATGTTTGAGCTGTTTTAACTGAAAGGAACTTGCACTGAAATATATTAAAATATTAAAATATGTCAGTGCCATTGTTTTATCATGTCAAGATGCACCAGTAATGTGTTTTTTCTAAGGCATGTTTATAAAAGCCACTTAAAGGGTTAGTTCACCCAAAAATGATGTCATTAATGACTCACCCTCATGTCGTCCCAAGCCCATAAGACCTCCATTCATCTTCGGAACACAGTTTAAGATATTTTAGATTTAGTCCGAGAGCTTTCTGTCCCTCAATTGAAAATGTATGTACGATATACTGTCCTTGTCCAGAAAGGAAATAAAGACATCATCAAAGTAGTCCATGTGACATCAGTGGGTTAGTTAGAATGTTTTGAAGCATCGAAAATACATTTTGGTCCAAAAATAACAAAAACTACGACTTTATTCAGCATTGTATTCTCTTCCGGTTCTGTTGTCAAGCCGCGTTCACGAGTCCGCAGTGATGCTGGTGACGTAAGACGCTGCTGACGTGTATCTGGTGCGCCCGAGATTCGTTTACAGTCTGAGGGAGACGCACACTGTAAACAAAACAATCTTCGCAAACATGTCTAAGGATTTCCACACAGAGGAAGACTTGCATTTTTTTGACCAGCCATATTTATTTGGACCCAAATACACGGACACACCAGATACACGTCAGCAGCGTCTTACGTCACCAGCATCACTGCGGACTCGTGAACGCGGCTTGACAACAGAACCGGAAGAGAATACAATGCTGAATAAAGTCGTAGTTTTTGTTATTTTTGGACCAAAATGTATTTTCGATGCTTCAAAACATTCTAACTAACCCACTGATGTCACATGGACTACTTTGATGATGTCTTTATTTCCTTTCTGGACAAGGACAGTATATCGTACATACATTTTCAATGGAGGGACAGAAAGCTCTCGGACTAAATCTAAAATATCTTAAACTGTGTTCCGAAGATGAACGGATGTCTTACGGGCTTGGGACGACATGAGGGTGAGTCATTAATGACATAATTTTCATTTTTGGGTGAACTAACCCTTTAAATGTCCTAATTGAACAAAGGCCTACTCCTGGCTTAATCTAAGTGGTCCTCATATCTTTTTTCACCATTGTAAATGAACATTTTGAACAAATATTCATTGTAGCACCACAATAAATTTGAGGTATTAAAAAAACAGCATACATAATAAAAATAAAAATGAATAAGGATTCGACCGTGTTGTTAAAATACTTTTCGATGGAGTTTGGCATGTCACACCACAAGAGAAAAATGCCACAGGAGCCCACAAGTATTTATTCATATAGATTAATCAAAACATTGTTTTTGTGTTTCTGTGTTGCAGGCTTTTCTGTCACTGTGAGCTCCAGATCACAGTAATACACAGCAGAGTCAGATACAGCAGCAGAGGAGATCTCCAGATACACACATTTGTTATTATGGAGACTGATGGACATATGCAGATGAGGTGGACTAGCTGGCACTAACTTTGGTGTATTTATCTGTCAGTACCAGAAACTCTAACCATGATCCAGTCTTCTGTTGATTCCAGTGGAGACGGTAAGCTGATTCATCGAATGTACAGGACAGAGTTTCATTACTGCCTTCTTTTGAAGACACAGATGCTGAATCTGGTCTATAGGACTCTCATTAGCTTCAGCTGCAAAGAAGAAAACAATCCAGTGTTATCAGAATCATAAAGCTTTACATTTATATAGTAAGATAAAATGAATATAAAGTGTCAAAGATCTATGGCTTATAACTCAATACACATGTTAAAACAGAGCAGATGAGGATCATTGTTGTATGTAGTTTGAATTTAATGATCAATCAGTAAGTGTATCAAGCCTCTTCTGAACTCTTCTTGTATACCACATTAAGCTTGTGTGTGTGTTCTTTATGGAAATATGTGTTATGTTCTTGTGGAATTATTAATAGATCCTTGTGTTACTGATAGCGGATTCAGTCACAGACACGACACACAGAATACATGTGCTTGTTAAGCATCAATGAAACGGCTAATATGCAGGAAGATTATGTGCTGAGGAAAAGGGTTTCCTGGCACTGTGGGCTTCAGGGCACAATAATACTGTGCAGAGTCTGTTACTTTAGCAGGGCTGATTTCCAGTTCCATGAGCTTTCTCTGTTTGTCAACTTTAGCAGAAAACCAGTGGGCTGATGGATCTGCTTTAACTGGATCTCCAGATTCAGTGATGGAGAGAAGGAGTTCTGGTTTGGATCTCTGATACTGGCGATACCACAGTAGATTGTAAACAGCACCACTGTAGTTACAGGAGAGAGTAACACTGTTTCCATCTTGAGCTTCTTTTTCAGGACCATGAGATGTTATTAGATCACCAAGAGAGTCTCCTGAAGAACAAAAACATACTAAATTCACTATTGTGATCGGATAAATGTAATATTGACATGTTTAAATAAAAAGATATGGTGATAAATGAAATAAATGGATCTTACCTGCTAGTACTGAAAATATTACGAGTGCACAGAGAAGCATGATGGAATGAAATGACAAACTCAGATGTGCCTTTTCTTCACTCACTGTGATTTAAGTCTGGAGCTCCACCCTGTGGCAGGATTTGATCTTCTGTGATGAGTCTTGAGCTCTTTGTGTACATGAGGACTACAGAAATGAGAAGAACACCCTCTTCTGGCTGAAAACAAACACATTCATGAAACACCAAAGACTTGCAGTATCAGTATGTTTACCCTCTAAAAAGACTTCTGTCAATAATGGTTCTTACATGCATCCATCTCAAAGCTGTTATCAAAATGTATAGATTTTTAGTTGATAGTGGGAAAAATTTAATAAAATAAATTTGTAAAAACATAAATGTTTTTTTGGAGCTTTCTTTAAAAAAGATACAAACTAAAATATTTTTTCCATATTCTTGACACAAAGATTTTTTAAGAGCTGTTCACTAAAAGATTTTTTAAGGAACCCCCCAAAAAATTTATTTTATGGCATTGTTGAAAAAAAAATCCCTTGTGGAACCTGATGAGTGTACTGTATGTTGTTTGGGGTTTTGGAATAGGAATATAATGTAAAACAAAGTTGTCGGGCACAAAGAACAGAGTTACTTCACTGGACGACCAAATCCACAATTCTGTCCTCTTATTGCAAAAGAAACTTTTGCCATCTTTCTTTTTATAGAAAAATACATTTAAAATGTTGTGGAAGAGATTTAAAAGGAAGAGAGACAAAATAAAATGGTCGCCAGTTACAGCACAGAATATTTTCCTTGCATTTGTTTTAACATCATTTCACCATGCATAAGAGCACTAATGTGATCGTATTTATGTTAAAATATC